GTTTTTTTAAAATCAAGGTCATCCGTTTTTTGCTACAATGAGTTGACACTTCCTACGTGTTGCGACGCTTATTGTATTTCACTACATAGTACTACAAACATCATTACATCTCCTGAGAACTCATAATGCTGGACAAACAATTATACACATCTAATGACGTTACCAGTTGGAAACCAATTTTCGACAATGAGCAAACCTGTCTTAGCCAATGCGGGTGTTGGGTTTCATCACCTTTTGTTGATACTGAGCGCACTGCGCTGTTGCCTCCAAAGAACCAACAGGACTTGACTTGCCATCATGTTTTTAGACGGCTAGAGAAATTTTTTAGTTACGCCATGGTATTAGAGTAGTTGCATTAAAACGCACTAACATTCAATACTTCGGATAATTAACTGGCGATTGAGACTAAAAAATCGGTCAGCTGTCATCTCTCTAGCTGGTGTGCAATGAACTTCCAACTCCTGCTTTATCATCCGCACACTCGTAGTCGGAGTCTCGATACCCGTCTCGTTGACCACGTCGTGACGGGCCTCAAACCTCATATCACTTCAGGACGACCAAAACACCTCAAGTCTGCAACCTCTTAACCACAGTGGGTCGAACATCTTTACATGTGAATTACGAAAATACCTGTTTACGCTTTCGAGTTTGCACAATGTGCACCAAAATACATGTGTAGTACCGGAACGACCAACACGAGGATAAGTACTTTGTGAGAAAACAGTTTATTTCCAATTATGACAAATGAACGTCCAGTTGGTGTATAAAACGTAATTAAGCGCACAATGAAGTACAAACAGGGCACGCGGATTGAATAATTAAAACGAGGCCTTATGGAGGCACTTAGATAGGACTATTTTACACATAAAATAAATACACAATACGTAGACTACTTTTTGGCACGACCACGCCGCAATGACTTCGAATTTGAGGGGACAACTCCTCCCTGCTTCGCTGAATTGTTTACAACTGATTTCTGTCTAGTTCGCCCCCGCACACCACTTTGCGGCTTAACAATTTTTGACGGGGTCGCACGTTTCCTACGAGCAACGGCTGTGAGAGCACCATCAACAATCACGCCCTCAATAAGAGGACTTGCCTCACCAACCACCTTAAGTATCTCAGAATCGGGGAACTGTACCTTTTTTTTAGCTCCCGCTTTTCCTTTTTGTTCAAGGGAGATAGCCTTAAGTCCCCGTGGAGCTGTTCCCTTGCGCTTTCTGACTGTAGCTCGTTGCGGAGTGGGCAACTTCCTGGTAGAAGCTTGACGTCGCCTGCTGAGTGCAGACACGATGGCAGCCTTTCTCGATTCGAGCGTTCGTAAATCTCTTTCCTGAACGGTTGAGAATAAAAGCGGGGAAGAGCTGGATTTACCACGACGTGATGAAGCAGCTCTTCTGTTACCGACTTTTCTCGACTTAGCATTCATGGAGATCACCTTGGTGGCGCCGCCCTTTATACCGTCATCGAGCAGATCAGATAAAGGACCCGAACAACAGAGCACCGATTGCTGCGGAGACGACTTACTATTCACACCTTTCGTCGATTTGGACTTGGCTGCACGTATACCCTTCAGGTTAACGGATTCCTGCTGCACCGGTTTGCTAATTTGAGGCGACAATGATTCAGCAATGGTAGACAACTGCTTGCGCCGCCCCTTTGGGGCTGACGAAACACCACGCTTCGTGGGTGCGACAAAAATCGTTTGTTTACGAAGCCTAGTCTTCCGAATTTCGTCGGACTCCTCGCCTGAATTGACAGCAACTACAGCATTCGATTTGCTCGACATTACAATAGCCGCCTTTGCTCTGGAACGCGTCTGACGAACAGAGAGAGCCAAGGAGCTATTAACATTCTTCAATTTCTGCAATCTTCGCCTTTTCTGAGGAGAAGGCAAATGAGTTACGGTTGACCGCTTAAGCCTAGCGCTTTTCAGACTTGATGCATTTGATGTTTGTATGAGATCCTGGAGACCATGAAGTCCCGAAGATGGAGAACCCGAAACATTAATGAGTCGGTCCATCTGTTGAATTTCTGGAGGCGTCTTACCTCCCGGTGCTCTTGCGATTTCCTCCAGACCAGACACCGTCCTGGAGGGAGGAGACTTCGGAGTTGTAATCAATTCTGCGATACCCGACAGTTCTGGAGAGTAAACATGCATTGAAGTTCTCACTGATTTACGAAGTCCTGATAGTCGCGGCGATGCTTGCACTCCTGGTGTTTTAACGCATCTTCGAACACCCGACAGTCTAGGTGACGACACAGATTTCGGAGTTTTCAGTGATTTCCGAACTCCTGATAGCCGCGATGAAGCTTGCAACTTTGGTGTTTTCAGAGGTGTTCGGACACCCGACAGTTTAAAAGGCTGTGCAAATTCTGGAGTTTCCATTAAAGTAGGAACGCCTGATAGTCGTGGAGAGGCTTTCACCACTGGAGTTTGCAGGAGTCTTTGAACGTCCGATAATCTGGGAGAGCGTACACGCTTCGAAGTTTTAACTAATTTACAAACCCCTGACAGTCGTGGAGAAGTTTGAAGCTTTGGCTTTTTCACAGATCTCGGAACCTCTGACGTCCTAGAGGGAAGTACAGGTTCCACAGTATCTGATTGCTCCTGTAAATCCTGGACCATTGGTGTTTCTATAAGCTTTTGAGCATTCAATAATCGTGGAGAAAGGAAACACTCCGAACTATGAGTTTGATTCCCGGCGGGTATCAGGTCAGAAGCGGGTCCCGTGTTCGAAGTTATTGCAAACTTTCTCACAGCAGATAGTCTCGAAGAGGATGCAGACTTCGGAGACCTAAGCAAATATCGAATGTTTGGCGTAACAGATGAATCGGAAAGCGCAGCTTTCGAAGGCTTCTCCAAACCAGTTAGTGTTGGAGAAAAAACAGAATTCGACGTCTTCGTTAACTCAAAAATGCCAGAGACCCCCGACAATTCCTCAACTCTTGACGCGTCCGTAAGGGGATCTATGCGCGGCGGAACAGAGCTGAAAACAAAAGAGAAAATTGGAACACCAACGATTTCCTGTGGTTCAGGCAACGACGGGGAGGACACAGTTCTTGAGACCCTCACAGGTGTTCGCGTACTGGAGAGTCTCGAGGGGGATTGGAGCGTCAATCCATCGACAGAACCCACGACTGGACGTCGGCCAGGCGAGGAGACGTCCAACGTGCCCATATCCTCTAAGTGCGACTCTTTTGGAGAGTTCGACAATGTGTTTCCTGTAGTAGATTGTTTAACTCTTGATGACACTGCAGCAGAAGCGACACTTAATGAAGCTTGTGAATCCTCAGCGTTCCGACTTCTAGAAGCACAGGACGAAGTACGACGAGAAAATTTTGCGAATTCACGACGTTCAGATGAAACTGTATCGACAGATCCCGCACTCCGACTAGTGCGTCTCAACGATGGCAAAGGTGGAGTATCATGAGAAATCCAGCCACGGTCTATATCGATATTGGACACACGTTTTGCAGCACTTTTAGATTTGGAAGACCGACCATTTTCCTCATTTAGAAATTCAGGAGACGAGACAGGGGACACAGCTACCTTTCTTTTACCAATATAGAACTGATTGAATGCAGAGTCGTTCAAGTTGCCTGTTGCCAAACTTTTAAGGGCGGCTGTAGAATCATCTATAAACGAATCCATAAGGCTTCGTGACAAGGCACGGAGATTTGATTTCGTTCTCAATCCAGCAGATATATTTTGTGGCGTAAAAAGTTTCGACGAAATATTACCTCCTTCTTTTAGCGATGGTGGCATTGAAGTGGACCTGCGATGCTTCACAATCGATGTACAAGTGCGCTTAATTGAGCTCCGGGGCGGTAGCTCGCCACGTCTAACCGGTGTTGAAGCTGGTAGACGAGAATCAAATTGTTCAGGTCTTAAGCTTGGACCGAACTGTACACCTTTTTTTGCAGTATGGGCTTCCTGTAGATCATTTTCACTTGCGCGTTTTTGGGACTTCTCAACATCCTGGTCAAAAACGGCGGGTTTAGGTGATGCAGAACTGAAGAGAAGTTCCTCCTTAGCCACGGTCGAATTAAGCGAAAGAGCTCTACCTGCAAACATTAAATCAGTTCAAACGGCCAACCTACCAGAGGAGCCTCGTCGAACCAATGAATTCCGATACACCTTCCTTTTATTAGAGACCGAATGCTGAGAAACCGCTGAACTAGGTGTGTTTTTACAAGGTGTTACGTCGCGAGCATCTGAAAAATTAACCTTTCGTATAATATTACTCGATTGTTCCGATAAAAGAAGAGTAGGGGATGCGTGGGGTGATTTGGAAGAAAGGTCGAATAAGTCAAGTTCTCCGGTTCGATTTATGTTTAGTGAGTAATAGGAAGAATTGTTCGTCTGTGACATTTCCTTCGAAGTAGACCGACGCAGACCTCTGAGATTTGGCGACATAGAAGTTGTAGGAATTTCATTTGCTTTCCCTCGTTTCCCGATAGGATTCGAAAAAGCACCGCACTTGGAAGAGGGACGCTTCACTGGATGACGTTCGACACTGACCGCAGGTGCTTTTGCCTCAGGTCGAGATGGCGTTGGACCATAACGTTCCTTCGTGGAGAGTCCTCGACGTTGAGAAGACAAGGTAGGAGTCTTTACACGTGCAGTTGGCAGTGGCGAAGGTTTTGGAGAAACAGACATAACCCTAGGAAAAGAGGACACTCCGGAAATGCATCGTGGAGAATTCGCCACCATCGAAGAAAGCGAAATGCACTTATTGGGGTCCAAAGATGTCTATAAATAGAACACAAATTCAGATTACAAAGCTTAAAAGCATAGGACATCAATTTCAAAAGCATAAAATACACAGTGACAAAGGGTAAAATCAAGAACTCGATACTAAACTGGACCGATGAATCACAGCAATACAAAACACATAAGGGCAAGAATAAACACCAAGTGTGATCAGTTATAAAAATTAAGACCGTTTAAATCCCCAATTTCCTCCTTCCATACATGCTTAAAATTGAAGGGCGAATCCTCTGGATAGAGAAACCTGAAGTTGCGATCCGCTACAGTTAGTAGGCTGTCGTGAGCAACAAATGTTCTCCCGGTAACCGGAACGCCATTTAAGACGGTTTTAGCAGACGTTGAAAGATTTTCAACAAAGACA